CAGTGACCTTAAAATTGACCTTTGACCTACTTTTCACCATGAATTGAACTTTGCCAATTTTTGTTCCCTTTAATCTCCAAAACTGGCAGAGATAGGTCCATAGTTACTATTGAACTTAAATAGGAAGTCATGAACTGGCAATTTACTGTGACCTTTAAATTGACCTTTGACCTTCCTTTTACTATGAACTGAACTTAGCAAATTTTCGTTCACCTTTATCTTCAAAACTGACAGATAGGTCCATAGTTACTATTGAACTTGAATAGGAAGTAATACACTAGCAATCTGTGACCTTGAAATTGACCTTTGACCTACTTTTTATGATGAACTGCTTTTTGCATGTTTTCTGGCCTTTAAATCTGCAAAATTGGCAAAGAAATGTCCATGGTTGCTATTGAACTTGAATAGAAATTCATATACTATGATATTGAAATTGACCTTTGACCTACTTTTTCACCATGAACTGAGCTTTGCATATTTTCTTGCCTCTCATATCTTTAAATCTAGCAGAGATGTGCCCATTGTTTCCCCTAGGTTTTCTCTTTTGTCAGCATATATGCACCATTGACAACACATTTCAAGGAAAACCAATAGGCCTTTTGTCTAGAGAATACAGTAGTGAGCAAGGGTAGGATAATGCAAGTCAATTTGAAAATCTGCTTGATTGTATCATTTTTAGTTATATTTTTTTGCATATTTTGAGAACTCTTGTTGATTGCATCTTATAGAGCTTGTCAAACACCAGACTGGTGATGGTGTCCCTTTTAGGAGGGGGGGGGGGTCCATACGAATGCGCTTACTCCAGCTGGTGGTACAATATCTGGAGGCGGTATCGCCTCTCTGATCCTCTAGTTTTAAAAGTTATTTTAAAGTTTTTTTTACAAAGTGTCTGATGAAACATTGTTATAAATGCAAACAGAAACTTACAACAAATATTTTGAAATAAAACAATAATTACTAAAGCCTACTTTAAATAAAACTTGTGGCATAAAACTGATATCTTGAAAAAATATACTGCACATAATAATCAACATTAAATGTTTAACATTGCAAAATGTATTCATAATAAGCAGCTAGACATTTAATTTGTTTCGTTTCACATATAAAGCATATAATCAACCTGTAAAAAAACATGACATCCATTTAAAAAAAAATTTTAATGGAATCCATTTTTTATGGTGGAGAAGGAATAATAGTCTGCTCACATCTAATTGATAAGAATCTTACATAAAATTATCAAAAACATATTTTGTCTTAGTCTACACAAAGGAACATGAAGGAAGGACATTCTTTAAAGTGTAGTGGGGCGAATTAGTTACAAATAAGACTAATTGACCTTTTTTTACTATAAAATGTGGGGTAGCATTATTTAATAAGGTGAATTTAATTGAAAAACTACACTATGTGCCTTTTAAGAGGGGGGGGGGGGGGGGCGAAGGGGAAACGCGGTTACAGCACTGTAAATTATTTTCTCAGCGTACAATCTCTTAACATTTGGAACGGCAAGTTCAAGTTTTCAGTAATCTTGGACGAGTTTATTTTAAACGTCCAAGGTTGACTGTTACTATAAGGTTGAAATGAAAGGGTTGTAGATTTTATAAAATTCAAATGATAATGACAATAAAAGACTGTAAATACGTTCAGATCGCCGATTGCATCTCCCTGAAAACGCACTGCAATTATAAAGACCGTAAAATTATATATAAAGAGACGTAAAGATACAGGTATTTTTTTTAATTGATTGGCAGCGGGGACTGTATTTCAGGTAGGCCGTAAATTTCAGTTACTTTTTCATAATCTTTTCAATTCCATAAAGCCATATATATATATATATATTTTTTTTAATTTATATATTAACTATATGTGTAACTTGATAAGAAGTGCCAATTTTGAGTTGGTAAAACGTTACAGCATCTTAAGACTACACTCCCCACCCCCTCCACACACACACACACACACACACACACACACACACACACATCAGCGCAAGACTAGTTTGCTGTTGCACCAGCAGGTGGCGAGTAGAAATCGAAATAGGTCATCCAATGAAAGTACAAGAGCAAATTAGGTCAACTTAATGAATTAGACTTCCTGAGCATATTGCGAATGAATGGCCTAAACTTAAAGTAACCAATTTTTACCGTAAAATGCCACATTGAACACAGAAGAAGACCACTGTTCATCTTAAGTTACCGAAGAACAGCATTGTAAGTCCAAAAATCTTATTTCCATTCAGAAAATGATTGTAAAAAGTGTGTTTTACCAATTAATGAAAATAGATCTATCATCTAGCACTGCATGTCAAATTCAGCATCATCATGTATAGTTACTACTAATATTAGTTAGTGCTTAAACGTACAATTCTACGAATGAAAAAAAATCTTATGCACTGGTTAAAAATGCAGTAATATATGATTAATCTTCTAATTTGCAAACGTCTTGGCAGCAAAGAGATACATTATTTTTGTTAAGAATTAAAACGTTTAAAACTCGCCTTTGAAATTGCCGATGAGTAATTTTTGATGATTAATAGCAAGATAAAACGCCTATAATTTATAAAACCTGTACCAATAAGGTTATTATTATTATTATTATTATTATTATTATTATTATTATTATTATTATTATTCATAAATATAATGGTGGGTATAATCCTGTCAATTTTTTTTGAAAAATGTTGTGAAATACTGATATTTTAATTAGTATCTCCCAAATACAATACATGTCACCTTGATTTTGTGTGTTTTGTAGAAAAGAAGAAAAAGATTATCCATCAACTATTTCAGGCTCTTAGGATTAAAGAGTTATGATTTTCAAAATGGAAATACATGGGTTGCACTCTGCTCTAACATTTAAGACATCTTTATTTTATGTTTTGTTAAACTGAGATTCATTTAACTCTTTTCTAAGAGCAGATTGTGGAAAATATATCTGCTCAAAATTAATAAGTTTACTGTAATGTGTATACTTGATATTAAAAAATCTTAAAGCAAGTCATTAATTCAAAATTCAGAATGTTTGTGAGGTGATATCGTAATGATATTTTTACTTTTTGCAGCTGAGTGGAGTGCGCACTGAAATGATAAATATTACATTTTCCAGTTGAGACAAGGCAAACAGGCACTACATCCATGATAAAGCCTCATTAGTCTCTGTCAGTCAACCTTAGATATGACAGGAACAGACCTGAGTGCCAGTCAGAGACACAGATGGTGTATAATGCCATGTAGAAAATACAGTGGAATTGATGGGGNCCTTGTTTTTATTTTGAATTGAACTTATGCTTTTAATTTATTATTATATAAAATGTTTAGTACATAATCATGACCCTCTCTTTCAGATAATTGCAGTTATGGTGTTGTGTATCCTCTCAGCCTGTGCAGCTGGCATTTTAGTAATGTTGTCAGGGCCTGGTATAGCGTATGATGTCCGTCATGAAAATTACCCACATTGTTGCACAGGGAACTCATACCAGACAGTGTCTTCCATTGATCAAAGTGGGAAAATCTCTTACCGCCTTATTGCCCGTCCGGACTGCTATGAATGTGACCCTCACAAGCAGGTGAGTGAAGTTTTTTGTAACTTCCTAATTCTATCGTATCTTTTAATATGGGCCATCAAATTTTGAAATTTGGCTAACTCATTTATAAAGAGCTCTTGTTGTCACACATTTTGAAATTTGTTGTCTGTCCATTTGCCGATTCACTACTGAAACTCTGGAACAATGTACTTATGAATAAACAATTTAAGAGAGAGATAATCTGATACCTTTTGATGCAAAATGTGCCTGGACTTAGTATTATGAATAGTGTTTAACCATTATTATTTATGGTTCTCTCTGATGGAATTAAAAGTATTTTTTATAAGTTAAATTTCGCACCATGCATTTGGCACCCATTGAGATACCCCTGTTATAAAATTACCTATGTTAAGTAGCATTTTCTCATTATATATGTATATATATATATATATGTCTGAATTTTTGTTTTCTGGTAGGCCAAGATTGGGGTGCAATCCTTTTTGATTGCTGTGGCAATATTTGAAGCCATAGCAGCAATTTGGGCCTCTGCTCTATGCTGCAAAACAGTGTGTATGTGCTGTAGTGAACCAGGGGTAAGTCTGCTCTGTACTGAATTGTGTGTGTGCTGCCATGAAAAAAGAGTAAGTGTAAGTCTGCTCTGTGCTGTAGAACAGAAAGCATGTGCTTTTGTGAACCATAGATAAGCCTGTTGTGTTGTAAAACAGGTGAAAATAAACCCACTATTAAAAATCCCATTCACTTTTATTGTAATGTTTTGTTAAAAATACTTTCCATGCTTCAACAAACACCATACTCCAAATTTAAACACTTCCACTGAAGACCTAAACAATTTCAAAAAATCAGTGTACCTTATCTGTATAGCCACCCAGTCACAAGAGCCTCATTGTAATGTGCTGCTGCCACGTGGCTGAAATGAGCACTAAAATGCAGCATAGGGGAGGGCATGCAAAACTGGCCCCAGGCAGCAAAATATCGCCATGAAATAGAAAATAACACACCAAATTAAAGGAAAATGAACAAACAAATTTCTCAAAGTTTAAAGTTTCTCAAAGTTTTAAAATTTTCACAAAATCCAAAACAGAAAAAAACCCTCAATTTTCTCTTATATGCAAATCAACTTGTCTAAAATTTACCAAATAAGGCTGCCTGGGAGTGATGTATAACCAACAGTTTGTGTGTGCTGCATTTAAATGAAATGACTTTTATCCATTATTTATGAAACAACATACATGTACTGAATACAGCTCTGTGTACCTGTTATAGTATGTATGAAATGACACATACATTTTCTGTAAACTTTGGCCCATTCAGACTAAGAAGAGCTAGCTAGGCCATGACCTAAATATGGCAGACCTACATGAAAGGAAGACTGCTTAATCCTGTAATGGTCTCTCCACCTCTCACACACCTCCCCACGCGTTGAATCTCGAAAGGTTGAATTGAGCCAAGATTTAATTAGTGTGCCCCTGCAGGGACGACGCATCATGCATGGGGAGGCATGTGAGAGGCAGAGAGACCATTAGTGGATTAAGCAGTCTTCTTTCATGTAGGTCTGCCATATTTAGGTCGGGTCCTAGCTAGCTAGCAATCTGAATGGGGCCTTTTCAAATTAAAATTTTCAAATTAATTTTTTTTATACAAACATATATGTTAATTTACATTTCAGGCATACTCCTATGGCATGCCCATGCAGGTTCAGTATGTCACTGGCCCAGTGGGTGGAAACCACCAAGTGTTGTTTGTACCAGCACCAGGAGCTCCCCCTGGTATGTTTTCTGCATTGCCACATGGACAAGTGGGATATGTGATGCAGACAGGTGAGCAGTCCTATGGGACTCTGTGAGTTATGCCATGGTATGCAGAATTTCCAGCCTAGATAATATGATACAGAATCAATGTCTCCTACAACCAGAAATTCCCCCCAAAAAAAATCTAGTTATGGGTTCTAAGTTGTAAACACCTGCCTTGGAAGTTAATGGTTTTTCTGTAGACTTTCCAATTAATATATGTAATGCATAATTATTCATCAGTTGCAAATCCAGTTTTGTGTCAGTATTTCTTTTGTGGTCATCTTTTACAAAGCTTTTCTATCTTTTTAGATTTTTGAATAATCATGATTGATATTACAATATTTAGTACAATGTATCTTAAATTCTAATACAAAAACATCAAACAAAAAGATTTAAAAATGGGTACATTGTACAATTTTCCATATCAGCCCTGGTGGATCCAGAATTTTGCTTAGTGCATAGAGGGTGGTTAGGAGGGAGCACAAGGATAAAAAAATTCAGTCACTTTGCTTGGCAAATATAGAGCAGTTGATGTGTTATTATACTAAAATACACAGGGCACAAGGATGAATATTGCTTGGTTTTGTCTGGTTTTGTTCCTTACACTGCTTTTTTTTCTTGGAGTAAGACGGGGCTACAGTAGAAGCATGTGCCTGCTTTGAGCTTCCCATGAACTGCCAATTTAACAGTGCATCTGAGTAAAATTGTGATTAGCATCCAAGTATTTGGTGCAAAATGGCTGAATAAGATGCCATATATGGTAAAATATTAATCATTTTGTAACAGTAAAGATAACTATGTTCATTTTATTTGTAAGGTCCTGTTATGGCTGGTGTTCCTAATCAACCCCAAGTGTACGCTTACCCAGGAGTCCCACAGCTAACACCAGTCCAATTACAGCAATATCAGCCACAACAACTGCAACAACAAGTGGGTGCAGAGCCTTCTGAACCTACTGCTGCTGGACAGGTGCCACAGGAGAATTGCTCCAAACAACAGGAGAGTTTGGGTTAAATTTTCATTGCTTGATTGAAGCAATGTTAATTCATATATGGACAACATGCCAGTACTCCGTGTGCCAAATTAATAGACTGGAGTATGGTACTCCAAATTTCACAAGAAGAGCACCATATCTTAGAGATTCTGCTGTACTGGTATGCTTTGAAAGACTGACACCTTGATAGTCTCGGTATTGCATAAGAGGGCCACCTAAACTGAGCTCCTGCAATTGACATGACCAATTAATTAACTTCTGTCTAAAGAGCAGGAAGTGAACTTATAAAAGTCCCTGAAGTGTAATCACATGGTAGCCAGTCTCAAAGCACACTGGTACAGGTAAAATATTGCTTGATGTGAAATGTCCTTTAGGCTGTTTGCTTGTTTAATAGCTTGTATGTAAGCCACCACTACATTTAAGTTAACTAGACCAAACTGCAATTTAGAGTATCAGTTTTTATTAATGTACTGTATTTTACTTCATTACATGTACTTAAAAATGAGGAAAACCATAAGTTGCTTAAAATAATCTTGTATGCAAATTTGCAAAGTACTAAACATTTTGCTAACATTTTTCACTTACATGTACATTTGANGCATAATGGTAGCAAATTTCAAATAATAATAATGTACAGTTTTACTATTTTATAAATTACAGTATTTTTAACATATTAAACACTGGTGTGTGCTCTTCCTGAATACACATTTAGTCTCATTACACTTAAGATTGTCCAAAATATAGTGACATGTACATGTATATAGTTGAAACAGTGAGGATGACAGTTTTACAGCTACTAGTAAAATCAAAGGATGTTATTTTTAAAGTTTGTTTCTTTGTCTTTAAACAAATCACTTCATAACATGTTTGATAAATGAAAATAAGAATCTTATAGTAAAAATAGTTCTTATCCTATATGAATCTCATCCATTGCTCCATAACATTGGACTACAATTGAAAAATTTTTTGATAATTTTTTGAACTTGTGATCAAGAACACATTTTTTCATTGGATGGGTATTTATTTTACATTTGTTTGAAATATATTTTGTTTGTAAGCTTCAAGAATACTGCCCTTGATATTTTTTCAGTTTTTATTGCTTTCAAGCTTGTAACTTCATACAAAGTAGTTCAGGCATCAAGTTTTAAGAAGTTCTAATTCAGTAATTGTAAAATATTAGGGTTATTTAGCAATTATGATGAAATAGTAGTTTAGTTAATATCATTTTTAAAACTCCATAAATGTTCTTATGAGACTCTATATTTTGTTTCATAAATGTTCTTATTAAGTTTTTTTTTTTTGGTTTTTGTTCTTATTTTTTGGGTGAAGAAAATTATCACATTATTAGTACCACCAGCGTGTACGCTGGCGGTACTCATGGTTTTAGTCCCGACCCGTCTCGTCCGGCTCCGCCGGCTCTGCCGGCTCCGCCGGCTCCGTTGGCTCCGCCGGCTCCGCCGGCTCCGTAAGCTCCGCCGGCTCCGCGTACTGGCGCCGGATACAAGTCACCGCTACCGCTTCTCCTCCTAGACCGCAAGGAC